CTGGGCCACAGGCCCCCCCACATGAGAATCGCTTGGAGCCTGGAGGCCCGGGCACCGCCCCGCGTGCCTGTGGATCCCATCCCAAGCTGACTGCAGAGCGACCGGCACTTGCTGGGGCCCCCGAGCTCTGTGCTGCGCTCACCCTGGAGGTGGGAGGTTGGACTCCAGCGGGTCCCAGCTCGGGGACCACTTCCACCCTGAGTGCGTTCTGCACGCCGTGTGCCCGCTGGAGCTGCCCCTCCACCTCGCCCTGTGCTGTCCGCGAGTCTGTGCGTGGGAGCTGGCCCCAGGCCTCTCCCCATCTCCTCTCCTGCTCCAGGTGTCACGGCGGCTGGGGCAGGGACAGAAAATGCACCCTTGAGCTGCCGTTCTGTTACTGAACAGCGGAGCGCACACCCGGGCCCCCTGGCTTCCTGCTGGAGGCCGCTGCCTGTGCAGCCAGACACCGCCAGGACTCATCCTCTTCGTGCTCACGGGACTTGGGGTGCTGGGGCCCTGTCCATCCGCAGTCTGTCAGCAGCCGCTGTATTTGATCTGAAGAGGAGCGACTCTCCCCGGGGCCAGTCCGCTGCGCGTGTGCCCAGGGCGACTCTGCGCTCCTGGCCAGAGGCTGCAGGTCCTGCGGGTCATCGGCTGCACGACTCGCTGAGGAGCAGCGTGGAAGCCCTCCAGGACCGGCCCGAGAAGTCCTCGGGTGGGCTGGGACCCAGCCGTCACCCTCCCCTCCTCACACCACGTGCCGGGTGGCACTGCCACGTCACATGGAGAGTCGTGGCTGATTCTGGCAACACCTACACTAGATCTAAATCAGTTAGAACTCGGAAAATTATTCAGCCTTCGCTGGCTGCCCTTTCTCCTGCTTTTAAAGGAGTATACACTCAAGCTGGGCATGGGGCACAGGCCTGTAATTCCAGCATTTGGGGAGGCTAAGGCAGGAGGATTCCAATTTGAGCCCAGCCTGGGCAACTTAACCAGACCTTGTCTCAAAACTTAAAAAAAAAGGGTTGGGACCGTGGTCCAGTGTGGGTGTGAAGGCAGGCTCTCGTTCAGTTGATCACTGGTACCACCAAAGTAATAAAAAAACCCAGATATGAGCAGGGTGTGGTGGTGCACGCCTATAATCCCAGCACTCGGGAGGCTGAGACAAGAGGATCGCTGTGAGTTCGAGACCAGCCTGGGCTACAAAGTGAGTTCCAGGTCAGTCTCTACTAAATAGTGAGACCCTGTCTTAAAAAAACCAAACAGATGTGTATCCACAAAAACAAACAAAAATGCCCTCAGCTGAGCAGTGTCTGCTGTGTAGAGACCGGCTCTCCCCTGTGACGGAGGATCGAGCCCAGGGCCTGCTGCGTGCTAAGCGAGCACTCTTGCCAGGGAGCCCAACTGCCGGGTGGGCACGAACACGTCCCCGCCCTCGCCCAGGAAAGCAGCGGCTGCACAGCCTGGCTCTGCCTGTTCCCTGCCCAAGCCTGGCTAGACAAGAGGATCGCTGTGAGTTCGAGACCAGCCTGGGCTACAAAGTGAGTTCCAGGTCAGTCTCTACTAAATAGTGAGACCCTGTCTTAAAAAAACCAAACAGATGTGTATCCACAAAAACAAACAAAAATGCCCTCAGCTGAGCAGTGTCTGCTGTGTAGAGACCGGCTCTCCCCTGTGACGGAGGATCGAGCCCAGGGCCTGCTGCGTGCTAAGCGAGCACTCTTGCCAGGGAGCCCGACTGCCGGGTGGGCACGAACACGTCCCCGCCCTCGCCCAGGAAAGCAGCGGCTGCACAGCCTGGCTCTGCCTGTTCCCTGCCCAAGCCTGGCATCCACGCCGTGCCACCCCCTCTGGGCTTGGGTCCCAGGGCCGCCCACCCCACCCCGCCCCATGATTCCCTGCCCTCACCGCTCCCTCGCTCTCCTCCAGTCCCAGCTGCAGGGACCCAAGCACCCCCACCTCAGTTCTGACCCCGCTTCTAACCCAGACCTGCCGTCCGCGTCTCCACCGGAGGGGATGGCAGTCACAGGCAATGCATACGCCGGGCCCTCCCCTCCCGCAGCCTGCTCTACACCCTACACGGTCACCCGGATCACCCGTCCGTCACAGTGTAGACCGATTCATCAGGAGCCCCTCGCTCTGCTGGCAGGACAGACCCAGAGCGGGCGCTCCCCACGCAGCCACCAGCACCGTCCCCAGCCCGGCCACACTGGGGGCCCGGGTGCTGCTTCCGGCCCCGTCCACACCTCAGGGCACAGATGCCTGTGACCCCTCTGCAGTATGGGGGCCCCTTCCACTCGGGGCAGGCACAAGCCGGGTCCCTACAGCAGCTGACGAGTCCTCCGTGACCAGGTCCCTCGCCCGGTTCCCGCCGCTCGGGGCCACAGAGTCACCAACGCGATTCCTCAAGTGGCCCTGGTGTGGCCCTGGCAGCGCTGTTCCCTGTGCTCCACACCCTGCCCCAGACTCCACATGGTCTCCCACCTGTCCTCCGACGTGGCCATCAGGGAGTTTGTCCTGACTACATCTGAAACTAGTCTGTCCCTTCTCTGCCTCCTACTCATTCCTTTACCCTATCTACCTTTAAGAAATTCCTAGCTGGCGTGGTAGTACAGCCCTGGGAAGGCTGAGGCAGGTGGGTCCCGCGAGCTCGAGGCCAGCCTGGCTACACAGTGAGTTCAAGGCGGGTCCGAACTATATAACGGACTCTGTCTCAAGCAACAACGATTTCTTGTCGGTGCCTGACATCAAGCTTTCTGTTCCCTGCCCTTGTCTGCCGGCGCCGAGCTCAGGCAGAAGCCGCGCGTGGGTCAAGCCCCCTCCCGGCTCCGGGGCTTCCTCCCCGAGTGCCCTTCCCGCCTCACCTGGAAGTCCTCCTCATCCAGGATCTCCTTCCTCCACTTCACCAGGAAGGCCGCGCACACGTACAGGTGGAAGTGGGAGAAGCCTTCGGGCTCGGCCTGGGGAGGGAGAGGACGGTTAGGCCAGGACTGGCCGGCCCCGCGCTGCCTGCCAGCCGGCCGGCTGCATACCTGGTAGGTGTCCCACAGGCGGATGGTGCAGCGCAGGGGCAGCTCCCGCATGAGCAGGTTGTTCATCCAGCGGAAGGCGAACTGCAGGTACTCCACCTCGTACCTCCTGAAGTGGCCGTGCACCTGCTCTGAAACGGGAGCTCTGGTCGGCCCCTCCCCGGGCGCAGCCAGGGCACAGGCAGCCGCGG